CCCTGGTGGAATGCGGGGAAGTTATGGGTTCACTCCCGGGAAGGGTGAGGGCAGGGCTTTCCCTAGGGGAAACTCCTCTGAGTGTATTTAGAAAGAACTTGGATGAATTACGATTTAATCTTAAATACGAGAGCTTACTACAGTAAGAACTACTACTATGGAGTTATAGCCATTCTGTGACTACCATGTGGGCAGCCATGTTTACATGTAAACAACTGTGACAGAGCAGCTACTTGGTATGCAATCTCATTGTGAAGTTGTTGCGTTGTTGGGGTCAACCTGTCGAGCGCTGTGTGGCTCTTGCGGAACCTACATGAGGCTCCGAAGTGAAATTGAAAAGGAAAATTAAACGATTGTAGTTTCATTTAAAGGATACTGTTCAGATCATGGTGATTTCATTTGTGAAAATATATTTGTGGCTCTGGAATAATTTCTAAATTGTTGTGAGGGACAGGATCGGCTCTTCCAAGTCTTCTGCTGCAGATGACAGTGAGGGGAGGCCGGGAGGGGAATGTTCTGAGATTCTCCACCTCATCCTCCCCCTTCCCCCTGCCCCCCAGTCAAGGCTTTATAAGGTGTGATTGATGTTGTTGCCTGAAGAAGTTACCCTTTGCAAAAACAAACGAATCCTTCCATTGCCATCGGAGTCATTTGGACACACAAGGAAATCCTGTGTAAGGTTTCTGAGTCTTCACGGGAATAGACAGCCTCATCTTTCTCCCTCTGAGCAGCTGGTGAGCCTGAAAGGCTGACCTGTCAGAGAGTAGCCCTGCGGTCACCCACAGCACCACCAGGGCTCCATACTCTTTGTGAGAGGTGGGGGTCTCCAGGTGCAGGTTTACAACCCAGCAGAAGAGGGTGAAACCAACGTTGTTAGCCAAAAGCAGCATTTTTCATTTTTAGTCAGAAAGGATGAAAAGTAGAACCTGGTTACATATCTTTCGGAATTGTATATATGTAATATGTGTACACATATGTAATGGGTTGGAATGTAAAAAATTAATTTCTCTACTGAGTCATAGGGAAAAAATTGATAAATAGTGCCCTATCAGCAAATTACCTTGCTTAGACCAATGAAGAGCATATAATAAAACACTGCTTTCTTGTGATTTGGGGGAGTGTCTTTGAAACAGTTCATATTTTACCCAGAGAATTATAAAACAGGTTAAATATGAACAGAAATTTTTATAAACATTAACTGAAGTAGACATTGTTAATAATGGTTGTTATAAACTCTCTCGTTGATGACTGTATTTACCTATTGAGCTGGAGATCTGAATAAAAGCATTAAATGCATCTACTTAAGGTGCGTAAAGAAGCCCTGATGGCGCTGTGGGATAAGCATTGGACTGCTAACAATGAGGGCTGTGGTCCAAATCCAACAGCTGTTTTGCAGAAGAAAGATGAGGCTGTCTGCCCTGTAAAGATTTGCAGCCTTGGAAATACTGTAAACAATTGCAGAGGCAGTGAATTGTTTAACATGGCCTTTGTTCATCAAAGTCTTCAGCTCCCACCAAACTACCTTTCCCTGCAAAGTCTTAGGAAGAAGTTGGGGGAGAAGATCCTGACAGGATTCACCTGTGAGTAATTGTTACCAGGATCCTTTGGCTTGCCATTCTGTTGTGTATAAAATAGCCCTTTGAGAAGCAGAAGGAGGAATCTTCTTACCTGCAAGAGCCAGGAGTGGACCTGAGACACCTGAGCAGTGAAGTTTTGGATCCAGAAATAGCTGTCCCATCAGAGGAGCAGCAGCACGACCAGGAGCCAGAGCATGGAGCAGAGTGGTGGAACTCCCCACCACAGAGCTTTTAGGCAGGAGGCTTGGGTAGTTGGGTGCTGCTGGCCACTTGATTGGGGAAGTTGGGCTTGCTGACTCACGGAAGTGGAGCTGAGTGCCTGCGGGCCTAGGTTGAGTGGTTTGGAGTGCCTCTGGGCATCTAATTCAGGAAGCAGGGTTTGCTGACCCAAGGAGCTTGAGCTGAATGCCTTTGGGTTGAGGCTTATAGCCTAGTACATGTATGCCCCTTTGGGCATCTATTAACAGACCTGAAAGAACTTTGTAACATTCCTCGGAAACAACTGTATCCCGATCGTTTCTCACTGACATTGCAACTTGTTAACTTTCTCAATAAACCCTTCAGTCATGAATTTTGTCTGAGTCCTGTATAACCATCACAATGGATATTAGAACTCAGAGAGGTAAAATAGAGAACACTAGTAAGACTACGTTTGCAAAGGTAACTGTGAACTTGAGTTTCTTTGATGGCAGTGGGGTTATACCTACTAAAAAACTCAAGCCTAGTGCCATGGAGTCAATTCCAACTCGTTATAGCCCTGCATACGTTTCTGAGGCTGAATCTTTACAGGGAGCAGACAGCAGCCTCGTCTCTCTCCTGCGGCACAGGAGAGCAACCAGCTGTGCTGTTGCTAGTCCAACCCTCACGCCACAGCGCTACCACGGCTCCTTCCATAGCAGATAGTGTAAATCAGGCCAGTGCCCTCTGTGATATATCCAACGGCAATGGATTCCAGGACCCCTGTAGAGACCCCTTTATAAAACCAGTACACCCTCCCTGTGTACTTTAAATCATCTCTAGGTCATTTACAATACCTAATACAATGTAAATACTATGTAAGTAGCACTTTTAGATCCCTCTTAGCTCTGATCACCTAATTGTGTGCTCTTCTCACACCTCACTATTTTTAGAGTGGATAAGATGGGCCATTTATAGTTCAAATGTATACATTGTAATTATCAATAGAAAAGGGTAGATTAATTGAAAGTTTTGAAAACAAAGGCTTTTTGTAAAAATTAGACTGCTGTCATTTGTATAAGTATTTATGTTAAAGTACAAACAGAAAGAGCTGTAACAGCCCCCAATGAAATGATTTATTAAAAAGAAGTACAAACAGAAGGTAATTAGTCACAATAGACTAAATGGCAGCTGTTCTTTATATACTGGGTACTTCGTGGCTTTGTTGCCTTGAGCCATAATGGATTCTATTAATAGCGTTTAATTTTCTCGTGGCATATTATGTGTATATAAACTCCATGAAGCAATCATTAATGCCATGAATATATATTACGTGTGCACTATATTATTGTTGACCTTACGTCTTAACACGTGGCTGGCATTGAAATAATGCCTGGGGTCGTTGGGTCCACTCCGACTCAGAGGGGCCATATGTTCAGTGTGTGCAATGTACACTCACAAGATAGAAAAACGAGTGCTTTGATGATGATGGTTTGTTTAATATTTCACAAAGACTACATCCAGAAATGAGGTGGTTATTTGCCGTGTAAATGCACTCTGCAATGTACTGTGCGTATTGTACACAAAAGTGACCTGTCTTTTTCTGTGGTGCATTAGTATAGATTGCGTTCAGTTACTTGGCATATTTCTCCTCGAAGTGAATTTACTGCTGAATACAGTACTAAAGACTGCTGCTGCTTCACCCAAAGCTTCGTCTTATGTACCTGACAGCAGGCAGCACGGAGAGCACGTCTCTGAGGGATGCATTTACCAGGTCTACAGTGCAGGGGTTTGGGCTTGTTGCTGAGATGTGATGTCTAAGATTTCAAAGTAGTAGCCAGTTTCCTTTGTATTGCTGCGTTGACTGCTTGGTGTGGCAGGCTGGTCGGATCCACATGCCATCGGGGAAAGTCTGATGAGCAAGTTGATAGTCGTCTGCATTTCTAGCTGGTGGGGAGAAGGCAGGGAGACCAGGGATTGAGGGCCCTGAGGGCCCGAGGTGCTTCCTTTTCTGTGCACCGTCTGTGAGCCACCCTGGTGGATGTAGCCCTGGGCACAGTTGATGGCCTATGTCAGAAGGCAAAGACTGATGATCGAGCTGCCTGCCTGAAGTAACAATATTGTTAAAATCGTTGTTCGTAGCGTGTTTCTTCATGGGATATCTAAAGTACTGTGTGATGACCGGTGCTGTGTTCACTTTCAATACAGAATTGTACCCTGGGAGTTGTATAACTTTTACCACTGTAATAAGCACTCATATCAGCTTGTATTAAGTTTGGAATTAATGACCATCACAGTCATCAAGTAGGTTCCGTTTACGTTTTAAATTAAGCTTAACCAAAAGTAGAATGTGTGCACATTTACTAAGTGCAGTTGTACCCAGATCTTCAGATGGTAGCCAGCACAGGAGTCTTGCGTGCCTCCTCATCTGCTCCTGAGGGCACCTTCAAGGGCTTGTTAGTTACAGCTTCTCTTACACCTACATATTTCAATCTGCACGTTCTGTAGTTACTAGTTCTGTACACCCATTGACCTGTTGACTGTGACTCATAGTGACCCTACAGGGGCAGAGTAGAATGACCCCCTAGGGTTTCCCAATCTTTAAATCTTTACGGGAGCAGGTTGCTGCATTATTCACCTTTACAGCAGCTGGTGGGTTCAAACCACCAACCTCTTGATTAATCAGCTGAGCCCCTTAACCACTCACTGAGCCACATACCAGTAATGCAGTGTTGTGCTTTCACATACTATAGATTGGTGTCATACTCCTCAACTTACCCACTGTTGTCTTGGCCTTTCCCTCCTCGCTTTTCTTTCTCCCATGTTTGTCTGGTCACCTGTGCCATTTGCTTCCTTTTGTGGTGTCTCAGCCAGTGGCCGTTTCTTTTACTGCTCCAAAAGAATCCTTGTTGGGTATTTCTTGTGTCTTCAGCAGGAACATTTTCTTAAGAGCTTGTGTTAGGCAACTAGATAATTTTTGGATATTTAATGCACTAATTACTTGTATTAAGGAAATATTATTTGGAAGTTGTTCTGTGGTTAAGCCAAGATTTAAGATATAAATATAATTTTAAAGCTATATTGATTTAATAATGTATACCCATTTGTTTCATAAATAAGTAACTCAACAGATATATTTTTATATTTCAGATTCTGTTTATAATTAGTCTTACTTGCTACCACTACATTCTTATCTGTCTATAGTGAGTTGATTAACGTACTTTTCTCTTTTTCTCCTGTCCTTAGACAAAATTGAAGAAGCACAGAAAGAACTGAATGGGGCAGAAGTTTCAAAAAAAGGTAAATTAAAATCAACTCCTATAGAGATAGTAATTTTTGCAGAAATCCCTCTATATAAGCCCAATTAACTTTAGCCTTACTAAGCCAATCAGCGTAACCATATCTCAAAATTTAAAACCTCTTTAAATGAGTTCATAATTAACCAGTTGTTGCCTTTGCAAATGCTGTTTGTAAACGTGCCTGCTAACACGGAGAGCACCTTGAAAAGAGTCTAAATGGGGTTGCGGTCATATGTGTGTGCAAATGTGGACGGTGCGGAGGGGAGGAGACGGTCTGTTTTCGTGGTGATAAAAACCTGAAAATAATAAAAAGAACCTGAATGTCAACTGATGGAAGAAAAGCTGAATGCATTGCACTACATTCTTCCTTTTGAATATTAAGTAGTTGTAAAATAAAGTTAACTCTATATCATATACTATTAATTAAGGAAATGAAATTACAATGTTGATGAAAAATAGACCTTTTCCATGTTGTGAAAACAAGTAACAAACCATACAGACATGTATTAAGTATATGGGGTTGGGAAGGTGTGAAAAGGTCAGTTGGAATCGCCCCATGGCAGCACGTTTTGGCTTGGTGTTGGCAGTGCTGGAGGAAGGAGCAGGTTGAGATGGAAACATTTTCTTATGTCTTTTGCCTGTATGATAAGTTGCAATGGATATAGATTTGTACTTAAAATAAGGATTTTAAATAAAAAGAACTCTTTGCAGCATAGGAAGCAGATTGGTTATATTTGCAGGTAAGGTTTCTTGAATGTATAGTTATTTCTAGGGAGCCAAGGCGTCTTGTGGATAGCATTCCGGCACTTTGTTAACGAGTAAAATTGTTCTTTTAATGTTGCAGAAAACTACTTAAGGTTCTCCTCATAGTCTTTGTGTAATGACTTCTTATTTCTTTTTCAGTGTTATAGCTTCTAATCACAGTACGCTATTTTGGCAGAGTTATCTAGCTGAGTAGGATTCTGATGGAAAAGCATGCACACATGCATGCATGCAGGAAGTCCCTGGGTTATAAATGACTCATTCCAAAGTGTGTCTCTAGGTTAAGGTGTTAGGTCAGTCAGGGCAGATGCAGACAGTTCTTATTTAGCCTTCCTGTAGTGTAAGGGTTGGGGAGGGTGGAGTGAGAGGCCGGGGCAGTGCCTAAAGTCATCTGCTGTCTACTCAAAGGTCAGGGGTTTGAATCAGCCTCTCTGCAGGAAAGAGAGATGGCTTCCCTAAAGATTAAGAACCCAAATCCCAAACTCACTGCCATCGAGTCCGTTCAGACTAATAGCTGCCATAGTGTGGCCTTGGAAACTTTGGGGGCATTTCTCTTTTATACAGTGGCTCTGAGTCAGCACCGCGGCAGTGAGTTCAGATTTAATGTAAGGAAAAGCTCGAAGCCTCTTCAATGACTCAGAAGCTGTGTGTGCAGCAGGTAAAGGTTGATTGTGATGAAGAATTTGTGGCAAGCGGGGATGGGTTCAGTCAGGGACTTCCTGTGTAGGTTTGCGATCCAATTACATTACAGACAAGGATTCCCTAAGGGAGATAACGTACGAGGAAGTGACGCTTGCTTTCCAGGTTCTTCTTCCCAGGCCCTGCCTGCGAGACTCTGCCAATGAGCGGGGCTTTAGTAGTTGAGCAGGCAGCCCCTGGTTACAGGCCGCCCAAGGACCACTTCCGCTTGCCATTTAGGGTTATGGAAATTGGCCTTCACTTTGAAAAGACTGAACCAACCTCTGCTAGCAGCAAATTCTTCACGACGATCGCTTTCAGCTGCTCCATCCGAAACACCCCCCGAAAAACAGAAACCCAAACTCACTGCCTCAGTCAGTTCCTGCTTTGAGTGGCCCTCTAGGAGGGTGGTGTGCACGGCCCCTGTGGGTTTCCTAGACCAGGGAGCTGCAGACTCTGGCTCTCTCGCCATATTCGGCTCTTTCAGTACACACATGTGGCTCTGAGGTAAAATGGGAAAGAAAATGAAGAGTATTGTTCAGATGATGGTGATTTCACCATTGTTCAGATAATGGTGAAGGACAGGATTGGCTTTTCCATCTCAAAAATGTGTCGACCCCTGTTCTAGACTGTAAATCCTAATGGGAGTAGAAAGCCTCATCCATCTCCCGCGATGCAGCTGGTGTTTTCAAACTGCTGACCTTGCATTAGCAGCCCAGGGAATAGAATAACCCAGCACATCATGAGGGCAGCTTTAAGAAGGCTTTTGAGTCTTTTCTTGCGCTGACCCAAACCCAAACCCGAACTCACGCCGTCGAGTCAGTTCCGACTCAGAGCAACCCTAGAGCAGGTTTCTGACACTGCTGTCTTTATGGGAGCAGAAAGTGTCACCTTTCTCCCGAGGAATGGCTGCTGGATCTGAACCACTCACCTTGGGATGAGCAGTCCAACACTGACCTATCGCCACCGCCAGGGCTTCTTTCTGGTGCCCGGCAAAACCAAACCAAACTCCCCACCATCTGACTCATAGCGACCTGAGAGCGCAGAATTGAACTGCGCCCCTGAGTTTCCGAGCCCTGGTGGTGTAGCGGTTAAGCATCGGGCTGCGATCGATGTGGCTGGCAGTTAATAAACCACCAGCAACTCCATGGGAGAAAGACTAGGCTTTCTACTCCAGTAAACAGTTACATTCTGGGAAACCCAGAGGGGTCGCTTTGAATCAGCATTGACTCCATGGCGGTGAGTTAAGAGTTAGCTGTGTGAGTGTCCGAAACTAAATCTTTACAGGAGTAGAAAGTTTCATTTTCTCAAGCGGGGCAGCTGGAGGTTTAGAACTACTGACCTTGCACTTATCAGCCCAACATGGAAATCGCTAGACCAGCAAGACTCCTCTTGCATTTACTCACTGCTGTCTTTTTAAGACTCATACTGACCCTACAGGACAGAGTAGAACTGCCCCATGTGGATTTCTGAGACTTGAACTCTTTACAGCAGAATAAAGCCTCATCTTTTACCTGCAGATCAGCAGGTGGTTTCGAACTGCTGACTATGCACTTAGCAGCCCAACACCACGCCACTAGGGTTTGCACTAAAGTAGGCTAAATGAGAACTGTGTGCACCTGTTCTGACTTATCGACAGGTTCTTACAGACATAGTGCTCCGGGGACTGACAGTGCTATCTCGTATGCAGCCACTTTAAAGTTTCTTCTTTCTTTTTCCACCTCCCCTGTTCCATGGGAATTCTGGAAAGCTTATTTTATTTCTGACCCTTTAATGGCCCCCTTGCAGAAAAGCAAAGTTCAGAAAGAACTGAGAAGTTCCCAAAGTCATGCTTCCCACTTGGAAGGTTGTCCGAAGATCCCTCCCCCAGATTGCTATAGGCATAAAGGATCTCAGACACGCAGGTGCTTCATCTGTCATCTCTCGCCATTTCCGAATCTAGTAATGCTTGAAGTAACATAATAAAATCTTGTCTCTTCTGGCAAAGAGTTTTAAGCACAGTGAGTAAAATGGAAGAAGAAAGGAAACAAAGGTTCTGGAAACAGAAATGTGGGTAATGAGGTTCAGAATAACTTGAGTGGGCCATGTTTGGCAGGCTGTACTTACTGAAGACCTGGGAAGAATACCAAGTGAGCATTAGTCTGCACCTCACTGCTCAGAATTACGGTTTGACTCACATTTCTATACACAACCCTGGGCAGTTCTTCTGAAATACAAGTAAGGAGTAATAGCAGTTTCTCTTTAACAACAGGAGAGAAAAACTTTTAGTTCTGGAGGTGCTGAGATTTCTCAGAGCTTTTCTTGCCGAGTTGTCCATTAAAAGAAATTTGTTTCTTCCTTCGAAGAATGTGGATTGTTGCTGGAGATGCTGTTGGGATGGTTCTTCCTAGTTGTGGCGCTGTTGTGTCCAACAGAACGAAGCCTGGCGCAGTCCTGGGCCGCCCGCCCGCACAGTCTGCTGTGCTCAGGCCAGGGCTGCAGCCGCCAGTGTGCCGCCCACCTTGCTGGGGGTCTTGCTCTTTCATCGAGTCCTGTGCTGTTTTTAGTAGGTGTATCATGAGGCATGTTTGAGAAATTACTATTTCACTTTTTTGTGGGGGGGGTGTCCTGCTTTTGTTTTTCTATTTTTATTTTTATTTTTTTCTCCCTCAAAATTTGACCCAAACTGGCTTTTCGGTCTGTACTGCTAAAGGTGCTAAGACCGTAACTACATTCAAAATTTTCCGGTCCTTAATTTTTTCTACTCTTCCATCCTTACTTAAAAGTCATGAGAATGAGTAATTTATTTTCAAGACCATCTAGCAAGTGGAAGCCTCTCTTTTTATATGCACTAGTCCTTGAACATTTAATCAGTTTAATGTGAAGATGGCGGCACAGAAATCAACTATTGCTGACATACACTGAGAGCGTAAAGAAGTGCATTAAGTTATGTTAGTGTGTGCATTCTTTATTTCCTCTTGTGAGTTAAAATATCACTTTGATTTGATTTGTTATGTTAACCGATTTGAGGCTAAATAACTCCACCATTCACACAGTCCTTTTTAATGTCATTATTTTAAGGGGCATTCTGTTTGATGCCATTTGTAAAATTATTGAGAGGGATGTAAATAAAAAGCCCTTAAAGTCACAGCTACAAAACAGGTCTAGAGTTACCTGAGAAAAAGTAAATAGATCATCAGTTAGGAAGAATTCTGCAAACCCCCACTTGCGTAAGCTTTAATTTTAGTATATTTAACTTTTATTATATATTTAATGTATATATAGGGCAAAAGGGAGATTGAATGATAAGGTGTTATTCTTTAACCTGACTGTCTATTATAACCAACTTCACAATGCTCTCTGTCTGATAGCAAGGCTAATTCACACCCCGGGACTAAGGAGGCTAGATGCACGTGGGGACCCTGCAAATGGACTTGGGGCTTTCACTGCCTTCCTTAGTCTTCCGTAATGGGCGTTCCCAGTTTAAGCTCCAGTACCATCCCCTCTTTCAAGTTTGCATTTTCTTATTTGCAATCCTTGAATCACACAGGTTGGTGTGCATCTTTCATGTGGACTTAATTG